TCTGATTGTTTGCTTAATTTGCATTTCCCAAATTTGAACACCTTTTTATATGTTTATTGGCTACTTGGATTTCCTTTTTTAGTGAATGACCTATTCAAAACTTTTGCCCAATTTTTTACTGGACTGTCTTTTTAAATAATTTTATAGAATTTCTCTATTTTGTATAACTAATCAGTTATATGTGTTGAAATATTTTTTTTCATTTTATGACTTGTCTTTACCCATTTAATAGTGTCTGTGATGAACAGAAGAAGATACTAATTTTAATAATGCTCCTATACATAAAAAATATCCCTTACAGTGTTTTTTAGTGATTTGAATAAGAAACACATCCCTATCCCAGGATCATGAAGTTATTTATGTATATTAAATACTAAAAGCTTATAAATTTGCATTTCACATTTAGGTCTGGAATCCATCTTTCTCTTCACTAATACTACACTGTATTAATCATTATAACCTTATATTAAGTTTTGATATCTGACAAGGCAAGTTCTTGTTCTTTCTCAAGATAGTCTTGGCTATTCTTGGCCCTTTGTATTTCCGTATGCATCTTAGAAACAGCTTTTAAGTTTAGCAGCAGCAGCAACAACAAAAATCTGTTGGGATATTGAGTGGAGTTGGGGATGATTTGACATCTTTACAATGCTTTGTCATCCTGTCCATAAACATGGTATAGATGTATCTTTATTTAAGACTTCTTATTGTTTCTGAAGAAAGTTTTATAATTGACCCCACAGAGATGTGATACATCTTGTGTTATTCATGGGTAGTTGGCTTTGATGAATTTATAAATGTTACCTGTTTTAAAATCTATTTTGTATCTGATTTGCTCTTATATAAAAATGCAGTTGACTTTAGAAATCACCAAATTGTTCTCCAGAGTGGTCTTCCCACTCTGCATTCCTACCAGGAATATGAGAATCCCAGCTGCTCTAGTTGTTTCTCATCCATGTCAGCACTTAGAGTTGTCACTATTTTTTGTTTTAGCTGTTATAATAGGTGTGTAATGGTATGTTTTCATGATGTTAATACTCATTTACCTAACAGCTAATGGTGTGGGGTATCTTTTCATCAGTTGCTGTTGGTCTGTCTTTTTTAGTGACGTGTCCAAGTACTTGCTCACTGTTAAACTGGGTTGTTTATGTATTGTTGGCTTTTAAGGGTTCTTTATACATTCTGGATACAAGCCCATTGTTGGATATGTGATTTGCAAATATTTTCTTCCCATATGCAGCTTGTCTATTCATAGTCTTGAAAGTGGTTTTGGCAAAGAAGATGTCTTTAATTTAGAAGTCAAATTTATCAATATTTTCTTTTATGGATCATACTTTTGGTGTCATTTCTAAGAACTTTTTGCCTAACTCACGAAGATATTCATGAAGTTCATGAAGATATGCCTCTATGTTTTCTTCTAAAAGTTATAGTTTTATTTTTTATATTTGTTTATGATCCATTAAAAAAAAGATTTATTTATTTATTTATTTATTTATTTATTTATTTATTTATTGAGAGAGAACGAAAGAGCATGGGGGGAGGGGCAGAGGGAGAAGGAGAGAGAGAATCTTACGCAGACTCCACCCTTTCACCACCCTGAGATCATGACCTGAGCTGAAACCAAGAGTTGGATGCTTAACCAACTAAGCCACCCAGGTGCCTCAGTTTATGATCCTTTTTTGAGTTAATTTATCATAGAAGGGGTGAGGTTTAGGTCAAGCTCCTTTTTCTTTGCCTATTTTTGGCCAATTGTTCTAAAACTATCTGTTGAAAAGATTGCCTTCCACTGAATCACTTTTAACTTTTGTCAAAGATCAAATAGCTATATTTGGGTAGGTTTCTTTCTCGACCCTCTATTTTGTTCCATTGCCATTGCTCTATGTGTCTATCTTTTTGTCAATACCACACTATCTTGGTTACTATAACTTTATTATAAGACTTACTGGAGGTCTTGGGCGCCTGGGTGGCTCAGTTGGTTAAGCGACTGCCTTCGGCTCAGGTCATGATCCTGGAGTCCCGGGATCGAGTCCCACATCGGGCTCCCTGCTCAGCAGGGAGTCTGCTTCTCCCTCTGACCCTCCCCCCTCTCATGTGCTCCCTCTCTCTCTCTCTCTCATTCTCACTCTCTCAAATAAATAAATAAAATCTTTAAAAAAAAAAAGACTGGAGGTCTTAAAATCAGGTAGTTTGATTCCTCCAGCTTTGCCTTCTTTTTCAAAATTATTTGAAGCTGTTCTAGTTCCTTCCCTCTTTTATATAAATTTTACAATCATCTTGTCTATATCTACAAAAAATACTGCTGTGATTTTGATAGGGATGGTATTAAATCTATAGATCACTTTGTGGAGTGTTGACATCTTTACTAGGTTGAATCTTCCAGTCCATGAACACAGTGTCTTTACATTCAAGTCTTCCTTATTTCTTTCATTGTTATTTTGTAGTTTTCTGCATACCAATCCCATGCATGCTTCATTATAGTTCTACATAAGAATTTCAGGGGCGCCTGGGTGGCTCAGCCAGTTAAGTGTCCAACTCTTGATTTTGGCTCAGGTCATGATCTCAGGGTCCTGGGATTGAGCCTTGCACTGGGTTCTCTGCTCAGCAGGGAGTCTGCTAGTTTCCCTCTTCCCTCTGCCCCTCCCCCTGCTCATATGAGCACTCTCTCTCTCTCTCCCTCTCTTAAATAAATGAATCTTTAAAAAAATTCATTATTGGGGTGCCTGGGTGGCTCAGTCGTTAAGCATCTGCCTTCGGCTCAGGTCATGATCTCAGGGTCCTGGGATCGAGCCCTGCATTGGGCTCCCTGCTCCACGGGAAACCTGCTTCTCCCTTTCCCACTCCCCCTACTTGTGTTCCCTCTCTTGCTGTCTCTCTATCAAATAAATAAATAAAATCTTTGAATAAAAAAATTCATTATTGTATCCATTTTAAATAGTATTTAAAAAAATTTCAATTTCCAATTGCTCATTATGTTTATAGATAAATGATTGTGTTGACCTTGTGTCCTGCTAAACTTGATAAATCCACTTAGTTCTAGGAGGTATTCTGTGTGTGTGTGTGTGTGTGTATGTGTGTGTCTATAGATTCCTGGGAATTTTCTAGACAGTCATGTCGTCTATTAATAGGGGTAGTTTTATTTCTTCCTTTCCAATCTCTATGCCTTTTATTTCCTTTTCTTGGATTATTACTTTAGTTAAGATTTCTAGTACTTTGTGGAAAAGTATCAGTGGGAGAGGAGGACATCCTTGTCTTGTACCTAATCATTGGGAGAAAGCATTCAGTCTTTCACCATTAAGTATGTTGTTAGCTGCAGATTTTTTTTAAAAAGTGCCCTTTACGGTTAAGGAAGTTCTGGTCATAGTTTTTTTGATTTTTTTTTAAAAAAGATCTTATTTATTTGACAGAGAGAGAGAGAGCACAAGCAGGGGGAGCAGCAGAGGCAGAGGGAGAAGCAGGCTTCCCACGGAGCTGGGAGCCCAATGCAGGACTCGATCCCAGGATCCCGGGATCATGACCTGAGCCGAAGGCAGAAGCTTAATGACTGAGACACCCAGGAGGCCCAGATTTTTTTTTTTTAGATCAGGAATGGATGTTAGATTTCTTAAGTTTTCTTTCTGTGTCTGTTGAGAAGATAAAAGATGGTTTTTCTGATTTACTAATATGGTGAGTTATACTGCTTTTTCCCCTTCAAATAGTGAAATTAGTTTTGCATTCTGGATGAAACCCACTTGGTCACTACATGTTATCTGTTTATATATTTCTGGATACAATTTGTTAATGTTTTGTGATTTTGATAGGGATGAGGGATATTATTGGTCTCTAGTTTTATTTTCTTGTGCTGAGTTTTGGTATTAGGGAAATATTGACCTTATTAAAGGAGTTGTGAAGTATTCCTTCCTCTTTTCTTTTTTTCTCTTTAACGTTTTATGGGCTTATAACATACTCTTCCCTTAGATCCTGACTCCAAGTGAGTTTTAAAACTCATGCTGTATCAATTGCACTACTGGGTATTTACCCCAAAGATACAAATGTAGGGATCCAAAGGGGTACGTGCACCCCTTTGTTGTACGTGATGTTTATAGCAGCAATGTCCACAATAGCCAAACTGTGGAAAGAGCCAAAATGTCCATCGACAGATGAATGGATAAAGAAGATGTGGTATATATATACAATGGAATATTATGCAACCATCAAAAGGAATGAAATCTTGCCATTTGCAACGACGTGGATGGAACTGGAGAGTGTTATGCTGAGCGAAATAGGTCAATCAGAGAAAGACATGTATCATACGACCTCACCGGTATGAGGAATTCTTAATCTCAGGAAACAAACTGAGGATCACTGGAGTGGTGGGGGGTGGGAGGGATGGGGTGGCTGGGTGATAGACATTGGGGAGGGTACGTGCTATGGTGAGCGCTGTGAATTGTGCAAGACTGTTGAATCACAGATCTGTACCTCTGAAACAAATAATACATTATATGTTAAAAAAAAGAAGATAGCAGTAGGGGAAGAATGAAGGGGTGGAAATCCGAGGGGGAGATGAACCATGAGAGACGATGGACTCTGAAAAACAAACTGAGGGTTCTAGAGGGGTTGGGGGTGGGAGGATGGGTTAGCCTGGTGATGGGTATTAAGGAGGGCACGTTCTGCATGGAGCACTGGGTGTTATACGCAAACAATGAATCATGGAACACTACATCAAAAACTAATGATGTAATGTATGGTGATTAACATAACATAATAATTAAAAAACAAAAACAAAAAAAACTCATGCTGTATCAGTTGAGAGATACTCAGCCTAACAGTCTTTAGGACAGTGTGTGCCTGGCAGTGTTGCTGTTGATAACTATTTAGTAACTTAACGTAGTACTATAGTCAGGGGATTCCTATCTTGCATGAACTCACAAGGAGGCAATGGGTGAGTCATTTTACCTCTGTCTCATGGTGAGGATAAGTGATTTGGACTTTATACTTAAAAAATATTTACAAACTCACCAAAATACTTTGTTTCAATACACAGTATTTATTAAGGAGACATATTAACATGCTTAGATACACAAAGTAAACCACTTAAACACATGCCATTCTCAATGAACTGTAAAGAAAAAAGTAACATGAAGAACAAAATTAATTGTTTTTAGGTAAGTTTTTGTGTTTTACAGCCATCACATGTCCATTGCATATTAGAAAATTATTAACATTGATGTATAAACTTTTCCCAGTCTTAGATTTAAGTCTTAAAGTAACTTTCTGGTGAGGTGAAGTTCACAAAAATTTGCCTTGAAGTCTGAATGTAAATTACAGACTCTGCTTTTGAGAGTAAAAATGTGGTTGAAGATTTGCATTCTTAGATGCTATCTACAGCAGTTTCCTTTCAAGAAATCAAATGTTCTTCATTATCACATGATAAAGATCAGTGTTGAAATGAAAATTTTTAGTGCATATTAATTCTTGGAGGGTACTATAATTTTTAGTTAATATGAGCAAGTAATAAGTTGTCATGTAAGATGCCAACCACTGAGAATTTAGGTTTTCCAAAGATTATGATTTCCTCATGCCTGAAAATAACATTCTATTGAGTCTATATATTTTGATAATTAGTTGTAGAAGTCTGTAAAAAAAAAACAAAACTAAAAATAGTAATCACGACAACTACCACTTACTGAGCAGTTAACTAACTCTGTGCTAGGCACCAAGCTAAGCACTCCACATACATCACCCCATCTGATGTTTACAAACCCAAGTGAGTAGTATTACTCGCCCCATTTGTAAACAAGAAAACTTAGGCTCACAGAAGTTAACAACTAGCCAAATTCAAACAGCTTGTAAGTGGTGGAACCAGGAATTTAAGGCAAGCCCGCTGGACTGCAATTCCAAAGCCAGAGAGTATCCAAGCACTATCCCGTGTACAGTCACCTGCTGTGACGAAGGTGAAATAACTTTATCTGTGATACATTCACAAAGGTATAATTTGTATTGTTAGAATAAGAAGCAAGACCAATTCAAGTGGAACACAAAAATCCCTGTTCATTTATTTTTATTTATATATGTCTTTTTCCATCATCATTATTCTAGTAAGATTATAAATACATAAACACCTGAGTACATGCAACACATTCCACAAAGTAACAAAAATGTACAGCACATTTAAATAGCCCAAATTATTGTATACAAAGTGCTTTAGAAAAAGACCTTGTGACACATTCAGACCATATTTATTTGAATACTTTTCAATAATTACCAAAGGATACATCATTTATAAATAATATTCAAAGTCCCTTATTTTCTTCTATCAGCCAAATTTAGTATTTCAGTTAATCAAGTGAATAGCTGTTCCATTATGTAATATTAAAGGCAAGTCACATAGCATCAAAATGAAACCGATGGGCTTCTTGTCGTTTTTCTCTATCATCTGCTTTCTGAAAAAGAATTTTAGATTAGTTTATAAATGACAGGAAAGTGCCAAGAAAAGACTCATTTCTGAAATATAAAATAGTTCATTAAAAAAACAAATCTTTAAGCAAATAGTAGATAAAAGATGTGATTTTATTATGTAATTATCTTATGAAATTTTTGTAGTTTATAGTAGCTATTTTATAATTAATAACCCACTAATTGAATTTAAAAACCAATAAGAAATGTTCCTTAAATATTTATTTTGTTATCACTTATTATTTATTTGAAAGTAGTGGTAAACATTAGATTCTACAAGGATGGAACCATTACATGTTTCCCATTCGTAATACTAATGTTAATAAACGAATCTAAGTAAAGTACATTAATTATTTTGGCCTTAACCTAAGTACTGTGCTTGGTATTTTGAGGGATTAAAAAAAAAATCCTCAGTTTTGTATCTTGTTCTCAAGGAACTTAAAGAAAAAAGCAAAACATACTGAATAACTGTATTTCAGGAAAAAAAGTGAAAACTGTCACTAATATTCTGGGAGAGAGATTACTTCTAGGTTGGAGTGAGGAAAGGGAAAGCTTTGAAAAGATAGTATTTACGGAAATGAAAGGGGAGAGGCATTCATTCCAAGCTGGGGGTAGAGCAGGTGCAATCATGGGAAGTTGGGCAGGAGCAGGGAATATGTGAAAGCAGCTGGTGAAAAACAAGGTTGGAAAGGTATATGGTGGAGTCACATGGAAGTTCTATGAAGGTTAGGCTAAGGAGTTGACACATTTTAGGCAGGGATTTTTGAGCAGCGGAGTGACATGATTAAGGCTAAACTTGATGATGAGTTATATGGCAGCAGTGTGGTCAATGGAGCGAAAAGCGAGAAGGGAGAGAATGGATTCAGAGAGACCAGGCAGGACTGGACAGGACAAGGAGCTGAACCTAAAGCTCTGGGAGTAGAAATGCAGAAGTGGAGTCAGCTGCACAGATTGTTATGGAAGCAGAATCAGTAGGGCAACAGGTCAAATTTTATAGGTAAGTGTAAAGAAGAGAGACAAAGCTTTAAAATATTAGTTTTAAGGTGCTTGTCAGTGATCTAGGTAGAGATGTCATGGAGACAGCTGGAAATGGGCTAAGAGAACTTTAGGGACAGATGAGTGTTAGGGATATTTGAGGTAATAGCTTGAAGCTATGCTTTTGGATAAAACTGGCAGGAGCAGTGTAGAAAGAAGACAGCCTAGGGCAGACACTGTGGTTAGGAAATGGTAGAAAGGAGCACCCAGCTAGGTGAAAGAGAAGTGGTCAAAGAGGTAGGTGATGAACCACAGCATCACAGGAGAGTATACATGGTCAAATCCACAACTGTATTTAAAATTTCAATTTTTAGCCATTGCATCATTATTATTTTAAGTCCACAATGTTTTTTTTTATTCTTATGTTAATCCCCTACATTACATCATTAGTTTTAGATGTAGTGTTCCATGATTCATTGTTTGTGCATAACACCCAGTGCTCCATGCAGAATGTGCCCTCCTCAATACCCACCACCAGGCTAACCCATCCTCCCACCCGCCTCCCCTCTAGAACCCTCAGTTTGTTTTTCAGAGTCCATAGTCTGTCATGGTTCGTCTACCCCTCGATTTCCCCCCCTTCGTTCTTCCCCTCCTGCTACCTTCTTCTTCTTCTTTTTTTTTTTCTTAACATATATTGCATTATTTGTTTCAGAGGTACAGATCTGAGATTCAACAGTCTTGCACAATTCACAGCGCTTACCAGAGCACATACCCTCCCCAGTTTCTATCACCCAGTCACCCCATCCCTCCCACCCCACCCCCCACTCCAGCAACCCTCAGTTTGTTTCCTGCGATTAAGAATTCCTCATATCAGTGAGATCATATGATACATGTCTTTCTCTGTTTGGTAAGTCCACATGTTTATACTGTAATCAGATGATCTGAGAAATTAATGAAGTTACTTTCCTTTCCTTTATAGGTCTAGAGCTATGTAATACTTCAGATTATGTTCTGACACTTCTGGACAAAAGTATGTAGGATCACCCTTTATTTTATGTCTTAAGTTGCAATCTTAAAATTAACTGAATATGTAAGTTTCTGTTATCATTTTTGATGTATAAAGGAGTAATTTTTTAGGAAGAGACAAACCTATGAACACTTATCAGAACAATTAAGATCTTCTCTTTTTCCTAAGTTAAAACAGCTAAAATACATGGTAAATTTAGTTAACAAAAAATGATTATGATGGGCATGACAATCCAAAGAGAGTAGCTGCAAAAAAAGAAAACACTTTTATGACACGAAGAAGCCCTTTTTGGGGAACACTGTTGGAACCTACTAGTTATATACTTTAATATATATTAATATTAATTCATGTACTTAATTCATATTCACATTTTCATAGAAATTAGCTTTTTCAATTTGTATCTAAACTGCTAGTAAATTTATATCATAGCCCCCTTTCTCCTTCTCATAAACACTGTATAAAAAATCTACACCTGGAGTGTTGTTTTTAATTATTATTTAGGGGTTATACTAAAGAACAGAAAAATGTTTAGTGCAAAGAATACTTTATAGATGGAAAAGATGTTTATCATTTTAGTTGTTACTTCCCACCCAAACCTTGAGAAAATCATTTAACCTCTCTGTGCTCTAATTCTTTATATAGACATAGCTGTTATTCCTGGAAAAAAGTGTTCATGGCTTTATCAGTAGATAATAAACACAGGCTTGTTAAAAAAAAGATTATTATTTTTCAGGGCTTTATGAAATTATTTCTAATTAAGTTTTTTGATATACCTGGAAATTTCTGGGTGATCATTTTATTACTATGGTACAGCACTGAAGTTTTAAAATAATTTCCTGTGATTTATATAAATTTCTAAGAGACATTAGTAACTTGAAGAGATGAAAGAAATTATAATCAGTAAGAGGACATTACAGATAGAATGTGAAAAATCACAAAATCTTAATCAGTTGAAAAAAGTTTAAAATACAGTGTTTTTAAAGAGCAATATATTACTATTACAAATTAACAAATTTCATAAATGAACAAACCTTTTCCTGCCAATGTAAAATGCCTATTATTGCCAAGATGAAAACACAGACACCGATGAGAGCTATAGCAGTAAGTAGAACAATGTTACTTGGTGTAAGATACAGTTTGGCACTCCAGCTGCAGATAAAACAGAATCATTAAAATTACACATTTTAACTGAAAAACAACACAATTCTACTGAGACCGAAAAGCAAATAGCTATTAATTAATGAGTCAGTTGATTCATCCATTAATTCATTTTCCCATCTATCCATTCACTATAAATAAAACAACAGCAATTAAATTTAGATAGTGCTAAGAATATTGATGATCCTGCAGAGTTCAGATTTTACTCAGAGAACTGAAATAGAATAGAATTTTTAATGAGATGCTTCATTATTTTTCTTTGATCCTGTGAGAATTATTCTTAAATAAACCTGTTAAGGATACTCAGGACAATCTTAGACATTGTTTTTACATCTTGATTTACTTGCTGAATTTGAAACCTTGACTCTAAGGCTATATACATAGTTACATGATTTTGGTAAGATCTCATATCACCTTATTTTTTGACCCCTGTTCACGTATGTACTATGGCCAACTAAAACAGCCATGGATCTCAGTGGGTGTAGATAGATGGCTTGTGTAAAAATACTTCTATCATTTCTGTGTCATGTTGGAGGGTTTACATTACTACAATCATGTTGAGACTTCTTACAAAATCACTTTTAGTCCCTTACTGTTAATGGCAATATACAGACTTTAGCATAAATAGAACTAGCTCTTTCTTCTAAAAACAGTCCACATAATACAGCACTTGCAAACCCCGAAAAGCTTAAAACTGGGGTCTAATATCATCAACATTGTAGGTGGTTATATACAAATAATTTTGTTCTCTCTGAAAATAGGTAATAGATATATTTTCATTTTAAAATCACCTACTATTATTGTATTACTGTCAATTTCTCCTTTTAGGTCTGTTAATAGTTGCTTTATATATTTAGGTGCTCCTGTGTTGGGTGCATAAATATTTACAATTGTTATATCCTCTTGTTGGATTGACGCCTGTATTATTATGTAATGCCCTTCTTTGTCTTTTATCATAGTCTTTGTTTTAAATTTTTTTGTCTGATGTAAGTATAACCACCCAGCTTCTTTTGGTTTCCATTTGCATGAAACATCTTTTCCCTTCCATTCACTTTTAGTCTCTTAAGTCTTTACATCACAAGAGGTGAGTCTCTTGTAGGCAGCATATAGATAGCTCTTATTTTTTAATCCATTCAGCCTATTTTCATTTTAAAAGTTTAATAAAAGTAAGATCATTCTGATGAATAGCAAGTAGCGACTGACTTATTTTGGGATAATTAAAATTTATTGATCTGTAAGTTAGCCTCTAGTCAATAAATCTCAAAATACACCTCAAACTAAAATCAATTCAGTTTTTATTATGTACATAAATTTGAAAAGAACAGTTCTTCAGAAAGAGCAAGAGAAACATGAAAAATGTTGAGATTATAAAAGAAAACTATAAAAGAATTTTCTAGAAACTCAAAAGTAGAAAAACGAATACTGTTAGTTGAGGTTAGCTATTCTCAGTACCTTACCTCATACTTAAAAAAAAAGTTCTTTCATGAGATTGTTTTGATAGTTCTTCTTAAATAGACTTTAAAAAACCATGAAAATAGGAATCTTGGTAAGAAAAAAATTGGACAAAAGGCCAGTCCTTAATTTCTTACTTGGAAGCAGTCATTCTTAAGCAGTTTCTTGCATATCTTTCCAGAGATATGTATTTTATACATATATAGACATATATACACAGATATCTTTTTCAAATCACAAATGGTTGCTTACTAGACATACTCAAAATGAACTTTTCTTTTATTGTCTTTTGCTTACCACTCTATTTTAAGAGACTGTTCTATGTCATGATATTACACCTAGAAGTATCATAATTTATACATTTTCCTACTCATGGTACAGATTTTCTAGATTTGTTATAAATTTCATGTACAGAAAAATAACAAACATAAAGATTCATTAAAAAATATCTGAACTCAGACTATTATTGTTTCCAGTGATATCTTTTTTTTTTTTTTTAAAGATTTTATTTATTTGACAGAGAGAGACACAGTGAGAGTGGTAACACAAACAGGGGGAGTGGGAGAGGGAGAAGCAGGCCTCCCGCTGAGCAGGGAGCCCAATGTGGGGCTCGATCCCAGGACCCTGGGACCATGACCCGAGCTGAAGGCAGGCGCTTAATGACTGAGCCACCCAGGCACCCCTAGTGGTATCTTTTTTTTTTAAGATTTTATTTTTAAATAATCTCTATACCCAACATGGGGCCCGAACCCACAATCCCAAAATCAAGAGTCGTGTGCTCTGAGCCACCAGGTGCCCCTCTACTGATGTTATCTTATTTCAAGCATAATGTTGTAATAAAGTTGTTTTCTTAAGCCCTTAAATCCACCATAAGATATATCCTGTGGTATGCTGTTAAACTGGCTCTCTGGGGTGGGGAAAAAGCCCTGATTGGCAGTTGCCAATTTTCATGTTGTAAATACTCCCCTCATAGCCGATTCCCACTGAACAGAGTGGGAAAAAGATGCATACAATCAGCTCATCAGGTGGCATGAACTGGTTCTAGCAAACCACTGAATATATTCCATCTAAAAATTTAATAAAGAACAATACAGCCTCCATTTTGAGAAGAAACATAACAAACCAGGACCTCGCTGGTTACATATTTATAGGTACATTACACCCTTTCTTTTTGGTTATTTTTTCATTTTGATATCAGACTAGCCTTAAGAACAAGTTATATTCTTCCCAGTGAAATTTAAGTGTTAGTGAATACCTTTATCACCTACTTTTTAAAAACAGTGGAATCACTCTAGTAATTAAAGAAAAATGAACAAAGATAAGGAGTTAGATTTAAATGCTATTCCTATAAAAGGAATATATTCTAATAAGGAAAAAAAAAGACACCTTTCACTGAAAACTTACTTGATGCTGGGCATTGTCTTATGCATATTTCATCTACATCCTTTTAAGGTAGGTATTCCATCTCCCACTTTACAGGTGCAGAAATGGACCCTCAGCAGTAGATCTTAGTTTCTAGCCAAGGTCTCTTTGACTCTAAAACTTGTGCCTAACCACTGTGGGATACATACCACTTCCCAAGCATTTATTAAAAAGATCAATGCTTACTAAAAAATTCAGCATTCTGAAATTTTAGAATTTATAGCCAGTAAACTGAAGATCAGTTTATTGAAGCAGAATATGTATAAATCCCTAATTAGTTAACCTGCTGTTTTTCTAATAAGGTTTAATTTGTTCTTCATAAAAAAAGTCAGGGACCTTTTGTGTAGGAATGTTTAGTCATTTAAGGTTTGCTGTAAGCAAATTAAATGATGGCACTCCTGGGAACACAGCAGGAACAGAGAGTTTTTAAAAGATGTAACTGTACCTAGGATTCTGAGTTGACAGTATTTTTACCAAAATCAGTTCAAGCAAGGACATTACCTTCGAGGAACATTGTGAGGATATGGAATGACAATTAGCTGGGAATTTGGAATGATTGCAGTCCACTCTTGTTTTCGTACAGACTGGAAAAAGAATTTAAGAACATTTAACATTACTTTAAAAACAGAATTATTATTCTAAATAAATAAGGAAAAAGCTTAAGTGCTCCTTGATTAATTGAAATCCTAGGTATGGATTAAGCTAAATTTATATATATTAAGCCCCAAATGGGGCTCCTGTGCACTATTAGCAAAAATTTTTTTGATCTTTTGAGGGAAGGATTATATTTCTGTCTCATGGATTCATTAATTTAACAAATATTTACTGAACAGTGTAGCAGGTACTGTTCACAGTGCTATGTACAAGTGCTGCTCGAAGCTAAAATTCAAGTAGAGGTGGAGTATGACAAGAAACAAAATATTTTACGTTAGATAGTGAAGATGAAGAGAAAAAGCAGGAAAGAGGGACAGGAGGTCATGAGGTTTATGAGAGGTGGTAGAAAACCATATCTTTAAATTACAATGTGCTCCATGTAAGATAAGCTTAGATAAGTCACTACCTATTTCTCTCTTTCTATATTCTCTTTAAAGAGATTAAAAAAGATTTATTTGAATTCAAATTGTTGAATTTAAATATTTGAAAAGTATATATTAAGACACAGATTAATTGTAAACAAAATAAATTTTTACTCACCTTCTCTCCAGATGGACGGGGAATGCCAACATACAGATGATCAAGAAAATTTGCACTTCGACCTAAACCAAGTACATTGTATGGTAGTTGGAGGGCTAAATGTGCGGATTGGCTGAGTTGTCCAGCTAAATTTATTAAAAAAAAAAAAGGCATCTTTGTAAACACTGCTCTCATCAAATATTAAAATGATAAAATATTAACAATTTAGGTGCCAAAACTTAATTCTTTAAGGATAAAAATGTGAAATGAAATGTCTGGTTCATTACCATTAATGATTCACTTTTCAAAGAAAGTAGCTTTATTGAGATATAATTCACACACCATAAACATCACCCGTTTAAAATGTACAACTAGGGGCGCCTGGGTGGATCAGTCATTAAGCATCTGCCTTTGGCTCAGGTCATGATCACAGGGTCCTGGGAACTAGCCCCGCATCGGGCTCCCTGCTCGGTGGGAAGCCTGATTCTCCCTCTCCCACTCCCCCTGCTTGTGTTCCTTTCTCGCTATGTCTCTCTCTGTCAAATAAATAAATATTAAAAAAAAATAAAATGTATAACTGGTGGTTTTGAGTATATTAAAAAAGTTGTTGAGCCATAACTACAGTCAAATTTTAGAATATTTTCATCACGCAACAAAGAAACTGCATTCCCATTAGCAGTTACTCCCTATTTCTAACCCCTACTCTCTTAGTTATGGGTAACCACTAATCTTACTTTCTCTACAGATTTGCCTCTTCTGGAGATTCATATAGATACAATCAATGTGTGGTGTTTTTTTTTTTTTTCCAAAGATTTTATTTATTTATTTGACAGAGAGAGACATAGCGAGAGCAGGAACACAAGCAGGGGGAGTGAGAGAGGGAGAAGCAGGCTTCCCGCAGAGCAGGGAACCCGATGTGGGACTCGATCCCAGGACCCTGGCATGACCTGAGCTGAAGGCAGATGCTTAATGCCTGAGCCACCCAGGAGCCCTCAATGTGTGGTGTTTTTATGAATAATGCTGCTGTGCACATTCACATACAAGTATCTGTGTCAACTTCTGTTTTCCGAAATGGCTGCACCATTCTCTATTCCCACCAATATGTATGAAGGTTCCAAGTTTTCCACATCCTTGCTAACACTTTATCTGTCTTTTTGATCATAGCCATTCCGGTGGTTGTGACGTGATATCTCATTGTGGCTTTTTTTGCATTTCCCTAATGACTAATGATGCTGAGCTGCTTTTCTCTTTCTTCCTTTCTTTTTTTTTTTTCATATTTAGACATTTTTATGGCTCAAATTAAAATAAAAATACACTTTTTGGAGTATACAATTATCTGAATTTTAACACAAGTATGGATTTATAGAACCATCATTCCTGAAGGGTACCAGAATATGCCATCCCAAAATATGGCTCTTTGGCATATGGATTATTTTGAGCTAATGGCCATTGAGAACCAGTAGGTACAGGAAAAACTCTAAAAACAGGGCACTACTTTTCCTTTTATAAAGGAAATTTACATTTATGCAGGAAGTTTTCCTTTGTAAAAATGTCTCTCTCAGGGCGCCTGGGTGGCTCAGTTGGTTAAGCGACTGCCTTCGGCTCAGGTCATGATCCTGGAGTCCCTGGATCGAGTCCCGCATCAGGCTCCCTGCTCAGCAGGGAGTCTGCTTTGCCCTCTGACCCTATCCCCTCTCATGTGTTCTCTCTCATTCTCTCTCTCTCAAAATAAATAAATAAAATCTTAAAAAAAAAAAAAGTCTCTCTCTCCCATAGCAGCAAGAGGAGGACTTTTAACTCTCATCAATGGAAGACTTAACAAAGGAGAACTCTTAGCAATGGAGAAGGCACTGACAAATCTGCATAACAAATCTTACTGAACAACTCTCATTTACCATACTTTTCCTAGACCACCTTCCCATAACTTGTTTCCTTTGCCCAGAAACCCTAAATCCCCTGTCCACTGTTTAGCCTAAAATGGTATTTAAGTCCAAATTCTAACCATCCCTTTGGGTTACTCATCACTGGATGTTCCCAAGTGTACATGTACTATGTACATGTTAATATATTTGTTAATCTGTCTTTGGCCAGTCTAATTTATAGGGCCCCACCTGGAGGACCAAAGAAAGGTAGAGAAAAAGATTTCTTTTCCTCTTCTAAACCACCATAAAGGTATAAAACAGTTCTGTATCTGTAAAAATTTCATCATGCTCTCCTTATGTATGTCAGAACCTCTCCCAGGACTGTAGTTTGTCTTTTTGAGAATGTCATATAAATGGAATCAAACTATATGTAACTTTTGATATTGACTTTTTTTTACTCGGCATAATGCCTCTGAAATACATCTAAGTATTGTGTATTGAGGTTTCATGCCTGTTCATTAGGAATAATATTTCATTGTGTGAATGTTCCACCATTTGTTTATCCATTCACCTGTTGAAGGACATCTTGGTTGTTTCTAGTTTGGGCCTATAATAAATAGAAGGGCTGTAAACATCTGTGTATAGGTTTTTATATGTTCATATAAAAAGTATGGTAAATGAGAGTTATTCAGTAAGATTTGTTATGCAGATTTAAGTCAGTCCCTTCTCCATTGCTATTTATATGTTCACATAAAAACCTATACACAGATGTTTACAGCCCTTCTATTTATTATAAATTTTCAGTTGTCTAGGATAAATGCCCAGGAATGGTATTTGTGGGACAGACTGTAAATGTATGTTTAATCCTACAAGAAAATGGCAAATAATTTTCCAGAACAGCTATATATATATATATTTTTGGTTAAGTATTGCTTCCAGTCTTTTCCCTATTTTTAAATTGGATTATTTTCTTATTGTTGAGCTTTGAGAATTCTTTACACATTCTGAACCCAAATCATGTTCCAGATATATAATTTCCAAATATTTTCTCCCAGTCTGTAGTTTATCTTTCATTCTCTCAATAGTATCTCTCTCATACAAATGAAATGTTTTTAATATTGGTGAAATTCTATTTTTCAATATTTTCTTTGATGGATCATGCTTTTGGTGTCATGTCTAAGAATTTGCCTAAAATGGTTTTGCCTCATATGGTTTTCTTCCATATTTTATCCTAAAAAGACCTTATAGATAATCTAGCTTCAGAATAAAATGAGATAAAAAAATATCAAACATAAAACATAAAGCTGAGCTGCTTTTCAAATGTTATTGGCTATATATTTGTGTAGCTACCTTTGTATTTCTGTGAAGGGTGGTAGTAGTATCCTCCCTCATTTTGGATTTTAGTAATTTGAGTCTTTTAGTCTAGTTAAAGGTCTAAAGGTTTATAAATTTTGTTAATCTTAAAAAAATCTTTTGGTTGAATTTGTTTTATGCTTTTCTTCCCTACTTATTTTATCTCATTATTTCTTACCTTCTGCTTGCTTTGGGTTTAGTTTGCTAGTTTAGTTGGTTAGTTTCTTAAAGTGGTTATCAATTATAGATTGTTCCTATTCCTTAATATAGGCACTTAAAGCACTAAATTTTCCTCTAAGAACCACTTTAGATGCATTCCATACCTTGTGGCATGTTGTGTTTTTGTTTTCACGCACCTAAAGTATTTTCTAGTTTTCCTTGTGATTTGAAGCCCATTGGTTTTTTAGGAGTGTGATGTTTAATTTCCACATATTTGTGAATTTTCAAATATTAATGACTTCTAATATCATCCCATTGTAGTTGGGGAACATACTTGGCATGATTTCAATCCTTTTAAATTTATTGAGGCTTGTTTTGATCTAGCATATGGTCAACTTTGTAGAACTTTCCAGTTGTGCTTGAGAAGAATGCATATTCTGCTGCTGTTGGATGGAGTGTTCTATACATATCTCTTAGGTTTTGTTGGTTTAGTGTTATTTTCTCTTTTCTTATAGATCTTATGCCTCATTTGATCCATTACTGAAAGTCTCCAATAATTTATTTTGAATTATTGATTTCTCTCCTCAATTCTTCATGTATTTAGGGTGCTCTGTTGTTAGGTGCCAATGTCTTTATAGTTATTATAGCTTCCTTATGGATTGCCCTTTTTATTATCAGTATAAAATGTCCTTCTTTGTCTCTAGTAACAATTTTTTTTTCTTAAAGTCTAGTTTGTCTGATATTAGAATGGCCACCCCAGTTTTCTTTTGGTTACTCTTTTTTTAAAGATTTTATTTATTTATTTGAGAGAGAGAGAGAGAGAAAATGAGAGAGAGAGCACGAGATGGGGGAGGGTCAGAGGGAGAAGCAGACTCCCAGCTGAGCAGGGAGCCCGATGTGGGACTCGATCCCGGGACTCCAGGATCATGACCTGAGCCGAAGGCAGTCGCCTAAGCAACTGAGCCACCCAGGCACCCTTGGTTACTCTTTGCGTGGCATAATTTTCCCCATCTTTTTACTTTCAACTTATTTATATCATTTTTTAAAGATGTTATTTTTTTTAAGTAATCTCTATACCCGATGTGGGGCTTGAATTTACAATCCTGAGTCACATGCTCCATTGACTGAGCCAGCCAGGTGCCCCTCAACTTTTTTGTATCTTTGAATGTAAAGTGTCTCTTGTAGATGGCACATAATTGGGTCATATATAATTATCCATTCTACCAAACTCTGCCTTTTGATAGGAGTGTTTATTCCAATTACATTTACTGCAATTACTGGTAAGGTAGGATTTATGTCTCCCGTTTACTACTGGTTTTGTACAGGTCTTATGTCTTTTTAATTCTATTCCTCCATTGCTGCTTTGTTAAATGTTTTCTAGTGTACCATTTTAATTCCCTAGTTGTTTTTTTCTATTTTTTGAATTATTGTCTTTGTGGTTGCCATGGGGATTACAATTAGCATATTAACTAAAAAAATTTAATTCCTAGTGCATATAACAACTTTGTTCTAATATAGCTATTGTCCTCCCCTTTCCTTTGTGCTCTTATTATACAAATTATATTTTTATACATTATCAACCCATCAACACAGGTTTGTAATGATCATTTTATACAGTTGTCTTTTAGATCAGATAGGAAATGAGACATTACCATATTTTATGTTTATCTCTAGTGTTTTTTACTTAATTGTGTGGATTTGAGTTACTGTCCAGTTGTCCTCTCAGTTTAGCATTTCTTGTAGGGTTGGTGTACTAGAGATGAGTTGTCTGT